CAAATTAAAGACTTGCCTGGGTTGGGAATATACCTCAGTGGCAGAATGCCCTCTTGGCATGCTCCAGTCTCTGTGTTCAATCCCCAGTACTGATAAATCAACCGTATGTATATATAATAAGTCACTAATAAATTTAGGAACTTTGGCTTAGTCCAGAGAAAGGAGTTTCAAACCACGATCTAAGTGGAGAAAATTGAAGCCAAAGAAAAAAAGGTTTTCTGAAAATATAGTACTATGGTTTTTTTTAAACGAATTCCATTTCTGTGTCCCAGAAAAGGGGGCTAAATCCTCAAGGTGTGTTTCTGGGATTAGAGAAAAGAAGAAATAGAAGGAACTGGCTACAGGGAAAATCAGTTCTCAGTGAATAGAACGAATCAGAATGGGATATAATAAGGCTGTAAAATGCCCTGTGCTTGGCAATGGAGGAGGAAACTTAGGGAGAGTAATAGCTCTTGCTGCAGTCACTCAAAAGGTATGAAAGGAGATATGGTCCCCTGATATTGTTTTAAATAAGACGTTAAAAACCTTCTTATAATAGTGTCCTTCACAAAATGGAAACAAAAATGAAAATTAAAGGATAGTGGGAAGCCAGGTTGTAAACTACAGATCCTACATTCATTGACCCATAAAAGTCCTCAGAAAACCAAGGGCGACATATTGGACTTCATAATTATGACAGAGATTTGAGTTCATGTGTGTAGATGTTAAAGGAAGGATGATCTGGCAGGAGGCAGAAGAAGCCAAGAACACCAAGAGAACCATGTCTCTTAACCACCAAAGAGGCTGGAAGTGATTATTATCTCTTAGCCATGGACTTCCCCCTTTGCTTTTGATTTATAGATAATGTCTCTTAGTCATTTCTCAGACAGTACAGCCATCAGAAAGAGTCAGAATGTCGAGCTCTGCCCTGCCAAAGCACATATTCTGCCCCAATGCATGCCTGCGAGAATACCCAGAAGCTTGGTGTTGAAAAGTGACTCGAAAGAGGATTCTATTCTATTTATTTATTATTAGGAAGCTATTTAGTTTTAGTGGCAAAAAAAATGATTGAGTTGTTAATAAATCCCAGAAAGTGTTTGAAAGTCAATGAGAAGCCTGAGAAACCTGCAGAGGAGAAGGAAGAGAACGAGAGAACTTGAGGAAACACTGCCTTCCTCCTGCCCCAAAAATGCTCTCCACCCAGTACACAGCCGGCTAAGTAGGGCCATGATGGGAGAATGAAGAAAGTTACATTTACTGACCTAGAAAGTTTCTCATGGGAGACAGTCTTGGAGGAACACGGGGATGAAGATCCCCAGTATTATATAGACAACCCTACCTTCTGCTGGCTGGGCCCATGGTGTAGATAAGAAACTATAATTGGGATCAGCATTGTTTCTCTTGCCAACACTCAGATTTTCTGCCCCAAAGGGACTCCCACTAGAGCTGGAGCACTGAGCCTGTAGCTTGGCAGGGCTTGTGGGAGTGAGACTCATACGGCTGTACTGACCTTCACTATCTGCATGCCACTTTAGGTCGATCAGAACTAGTTTCTATTCCCTTTAGAAATGGCTCATTTTCCTGGATAATGGGGATATCAAGACCATCTTCCAAAGGTTAAAGTGAGTGAGTCCACACAAACACTTTGAAGACTGGATGACCCGGGTAAGGCTGTAGTTATTAAAATTGTGATGGTGGTTATTGTCACCATCACCTAACAGAATTATTGGAATATGAGGCAGATTTGGGAAATAGTTGTTTATTTGAACACCATCTGTCATGGGAAAAGAGCAAACAGGGAATAAAAAATGTTGCTTGATAAATAGAAGCATGGGGGTGGCAGGGAGTGTCAGGTCCAAATGTCAGATCTAGATCAAAGCACCAAAGTCATCCTTCTCACCCCTAAAATTGAGGCAGCATCTCACTATGCAGTTCTGGTATGACTGGTTGGAAGCCCACTATTGTTGCTCTTCAGCCCACAGAGATCCACCCACCCCCGCCTTCAAAGTGCTGAAAAATGGTGCTCTTGACATAAACTCCATAATAACTCTTCAAGTTTATACTTTGTGGAAAGTGTCCTACTCCCTTGAAAGCCCCAACCCAAGGCACCGCTCTTTGCTGACAGTTTCTCACACACAGAGAAAAGACATTCCACGGTGTGCAATAGACATGAGAGAAACTGGATCTGGTATCTGTGGTCCAAAGAGACCCTTAATTAGCACCAGGCCGATTCTTGTCTTCTGACTGGCTGCAGCCTCATCAGCCCTTTAGACAGCTGTTGTGGGCTGCACTGTGTTCTCCACATGTTCGACTTCTAATCCAGCTAGGAGTGTGACCTGAGAGAGGAGTAGATCTACAGACACCTTCAAGCTTTGGGTTCAATGGACCCTAGGTCAGGTACTGGTGTTCTCATAAGAAGGGAGAAATTTCGTCAGAGAGAAGGAAAGACACACCAAGGACACACAAAGGGGTGCATGTGTAAGCTAGGCACTGCCAAGGATTCCCAACATCCCCCAGGACCTAAGAAAAGGCAAGGACAGACCAGGACCTTCCCAAAGTCTTCATTGAATAGAACTCTGAGGAATACCGTCATGCTGTTTTAAGCCCCTGGGTATGGGGTAACTTGATACAGCAACCTCAGGAAGGTCTGCCAGCAATTAGCACTGGTCCCATTGTGTGCTGACTTCAGATGAGTCAGGGGTCCATTGCTCACTGAGTAGCTCTTTCCTGGAATCGTTGTAAAGGGACAGGAGGGGGCATCAGTCTGTCCTAACTTGAGCCCTGTACACTGCCTGACTATTCAGCACACCACAGGGAAGAGCAAGCAGGAGTCCTCATTAGAATGATGTAGTGGGAATTTTGTTTCTGGTTCACCTTTCTTTCTGGGTGGGGTCACCTGGCATATGCTTGCACACCTAACAAAAACCCTAGCAACCGCTGATTTTACCTTTGCCATTTTACCCCTACCTCTTCTCAAAGTATCAATCAAGATACATTTTTCTCAGCTTCACCAGAAAGAGGAAAAGTAAATTAATCTCACCAAAATTTTTCCAACTTTTCTCTCATGTATTGATGGCAAGAACGGGGACCGGGGGCAAACTGACGCACAGTGATGGAAAACTCATGGTGACACATGTTTATTGGAGTCGAAGTCTGGCTCCTTACACAGCAGGTTCTCTGTGTAAAATGAAAAGAGAAATGGACACTGTGCAGAAAAAAAAAATGTGTTTACTATTTTCTTTGAATTCCAATTTTGATTGTTTCTCTCTGGGTATTCTAGGAAATGTCGTGATCCTCGTGAGATAAGGGCATATTCTTAAGTCAAGTGTGATGTGTGTCATACTTGATAGTTCTAGAAATTGAACAGGAGGATCTGAGGAGAGATGTTAGAAACCAGAGAGGAAGAAAGGAGTAGCTTTAAAATAAGATACAGGACACAAGTCATTAGGAAGAAACATCTCAAAATGCAGGGTCTTCAGTCCTGTTTCGAGGCACCAGGTTATAACACCAGGCAATGAGAGCACAGTTTAGAACCCCCTGCAATAGTCATGTGTCCACTCTTTCCTGTCTCAACTCTCCATAAGCTATCACCACTTGGAAGAAACATACAGCTTCAGCAAGAGATCTCTGGACAGAAGGGAGTGCAGAACAAAGCCTTCCTCAGTTGTGCCCATGGGGGCTGCTGTGTCTAAGCCCTGTAATGACAGCCTTCTTCTCACTATCTTCTCAGTGGCAATCCCACTGAAGTAGGAAGCCATGGCCAGCTAGGAGATACACTGTCAGTTTCCTGATGGAGGAGGTTTTGTCGAGAACCCTAAGGGCCCACTGACAAGGAGTAGGCCTTACCTGAGATCCTTCCCAAGTCTTATCTCCACTCTGCCTCCCTAGTGAAGTCTACAGAGCAGCAAGGACAGTCAACCTCTCTTGAACCTTCCAAAGTAATAAAGGAAGATTTATTCTTTGAGTGACAGTGGCCACATCGCTCGTGACTTAGCACACTTAATGAGGGTTACATCTCAGGTCTAGCTTGTCCCCACCCCTGACTTTAGTCAGGACACAATTCTTTGTAGGCAACATACAAGGCAAGGCCTCATTGCTCATTCTGTTACATGCTGAAACTCTTTCCTGGTTCCAGCTCACTAGGGAAGGACCCTATAAAAGACCAGAGAAACCATGGACTCTCTTGAGGAAAAGTGTCCAGGATCAGGGACCTGTGAAGTTCACCGTCAATGGACACAAACTAACACTGGAAGTATTGACAAAGCACCACTATAAATGTTGTGTTTGTCACCCAACATACACTCATGAACTCACACATACAAACATGACCAGATATGCACAAAAATACAAATATTTTTAAAGGTAATGTTTATTTTATTCATTTTAATTCATTGGTCTCTCAGCCTTTGTTGTTTTCATAGACCCTAGTGTATGAACGGTTTGAGAGATTGTGGAAGTCAAACTCCCATGTCATCCATGAGATAAACTATTCTTTCTTTGCTGGAAAGGCAGTGGGAACTGAGAGAGAGAGAGAGAGAGGAAATGCCGACATCCCCTTCCTGCTGTTCCCAAAGGGAAAGAAATTCTCACTGAAGGAGCCACGGGAATGTGAGGAGGAACGCACAGGGTGACTGTGACCCCCAAACTTGCACACAATACTTTAAACGATCGAGGACAATTTCTGGATACCAAAATGGGTTTATGTATTCCTGGGTTTTGTTTTGTTTCTTGCTCTTTTTTAAATAGGGTCTGGCTCACAATGTAGCCCACACTGGCCTAGACTGACGGATTCTCTTACATTAAGAAAATATATGGTCCTTTTTTTGAGTCTAAAATACTGTTTTGCTTTGTGTGTGTTTTTTTTAATCTGAAGAAGAGAAGACTTTTTTACTGTTATTATCCATTAGGCTTGAAACTTTCTTTACACATTATTATTGATTAGCATTGTTGCTGAATCCTCCTTGTCCCCATGCCAAGCAGCTGAATCTCTGTCCCTACTTTCCAGGAAGGGCAAACAAAGTGCAAGGTCAGGCCTGCAGATTAAATCGCCGCTGCAGGTGCTCCCTGCAGACACTCCAGCTGGACTGAGACCCAACCATGTCTCTGCTGGCAGCTGTGCTGCTGCTCTGGGGTAAGACGTCCTGGGGCCCGGGACCTCTGGGGCAGGTGTGGTATGGACGCAAACTCACAGACTCTGTTCCATTGTAGGTCCAGCAACAGATGCAGCCCCCAGCGTGTTGAAGGATAACACAGGAAACAGTGAGCATGGGTTGTGGGAAACCCCTTTCCTAACAGCAGCAAGCTAACCCTGGCTCCTTTGCACTCCAGGCACCACCAGTTAACCTAGCCTATGGGCAGACACTGGGTCCCTGCTAGAAATCTGGGCAAACCTGTCTCTGACTTGGAAGGACGTGAGGCTACCAAAATCCTCCAGCTGCTCAGAAATGGGATGTCCCAGTAGCTTGCCCATGTTGACCTACCTCCCATGTCAGACCCACTCCCACTGGGAGCAATTACAAGTGACAATAGGGACCTCTACCAAATTCAGTAAGGCTTGGAAACCTTTGGTGGATGGATAGAGATGAGCAATCTCATAGAGGTGACAGGGACAGATAGACAGGACCTTAATGAGGTAAGAAGACAGTGGGAAGGGGTAGATGGAGGAGCCTCCATCCATGCTTGCTCATCTGTTAAGTGGGAATGTTTATGCTGTCCTCAGAAGCTTATGAGTAAGTCCTATGGAGTGCTGGGGACAGGTGTGGCACAGAGTAGTGTTCTGCTCCCTGTCTCCAGCTTTCACCCCCACTCCATCCCTGCCTCCCTTCTATTTTCTGAGTCTGGAATTCATACTCTTGCTTCTTCTAGAGTGAGCCGGAAGTACTCACTGACCCTGCCCTCCCCCTCCACAGAGCCCTTGCCCAGACCCTGGCTTTCTGTTGAGCCAGTGTCCTGGATCACACCTGGCCTGAGTACATTCCTGGTGTGCCAGGCGCCACTGCCAGATGTAACCTTCCTGTTGAAGCGGGAAGGAGATGTTGGTTTCCAGGAAGTAGCTGAAACCGATGGTTTCCTGGAACTAGCTGCACCCGATGGTTTCCTGGAAACAGCTGAAGCCAGGAAAGGTGACAAGGAACTGGCCACTTTCCTAGTCCACAAACCTGGCACCTATAGCTGCAGCTACCTAATTCACACATCAGCTGTGCCCTCTGCGCCCAGTGATACTGTGACTATCAAGGAATATGGTGAGTGCTCGATCCCAACACTGAAAAGCTGGGTAGAAAGACCTGATGCATCATGTCCGAAGAAAAGCTGTCCCTGGGGGTTTGGGGTCAGACAGAGGACAGTTCTTCGTGGGACCCTACAAAACCGAGTGCCCTAGATTCCTGCCTCAGGACCTTCCCTGCTTTGCAGTCATACCGCCTCCACCGGTGCTGACCTCTTCCGGAAGTTTCACGGTGATCCTACTTATGAAGGTCCACAGGACCCTTGTCTGTGAGGCTCCACTGATGGATGTTGAATTCCAGCTGAGGCAGGGCGAGCACAAGCTGAACCTCCCCTCCATCAGCACCAGCCCAGAGCAGATCAAGTTCTATCTGAAACGATCGGATCTGGGGGACCAGAGCCCATTCACCTGTCGCTACCGTCTACACAGCAATACAGCTTGGTCCAATGACAGTGAGCCCGTAGAGCTAATGTGGAGTGATGGTGAGCCTCACGGGGGGACTGCAGATCCAGAGCAGGGGGTAAGGAGAGAGGGGTGTCAGAAGCAAGCAGGATAGGTACCTCAAGGCAGAATCCCCAAACCAGAACAAATTTATCCAGTTAGCCTCATTTTCCCAAGCCTCAAACAGGACAAATAATACAGCAACCTTGAGATCTGCAAAGAACTGGAACACCACAAAAGTCAGGCTCAGACCTTGATGGGATGCCTCTTGTCAGAGTATCCTAGAAAGAATTCAACTGCACGCCCAGGGTTTGCCAAAGCTAAGAGCCTGAGGCAGTGGCACAGTATTAAGTATGGTCCTGGCTGTCTTTCAGAAGCAGACAAGAAAGCAGGATGGGAGGTCACTTTAGGCATAAGACTCAGCCACATCACAGGCTGGACCACATATGGGTCCCTTGCTGTGCCTTCAAACTGGGCCAATGTGTCTGATCCTCTACAGAGACACTGCCGGCCCCGGAGCTCACTGCCGAGCCATCGAATCAGACCATTGAACCTGATTCCATGGTGCAGTTTCGATGTACCGCCCCTAAGGCTGGCCTGCGCTTCGGCCTGCACCGTGAAGACCCGTACGAGAGCATCCTGCTGCAGACGCTGAAGACAGCTGGCAACGAGGCTGTCTTTCAGCTGCACAACGTCTCAGCAGAAGACACTGCAGACTACAGCTGCATCTACGTGGAACTAGCCCCGCCCTTCTCAGGATCCGCTCCCAGCGAGTTCGTGGAGCTGACTGTGGATGGTGAGCTGAGCATAGCCACGTGGGTAGGAAGTCCCATGGGGTGCTCCGATAAGGGATCGGATTCCTGGACTGTGGTCCTGTGAGGGGCCATTCTTTCTATGCTGTGCCTTAATGAGGCTTTGGACTTTGAAGTCCTTGAAGTTACCTCTCTCAGATAAGGCATGGAACTCTGGTCTTTCTTCCTCTCCCCCTCCCCCCGGCCCCCGAGTTGGAACTAGAAGTGGGCAGGCGAAATCGTGTTCAAGAGGGTTAGGGTCTGAGCTGCTCCTGTTCAGATACACCCTGCTCTCTTTAGTTTCCTTGTGCTGCAAGTATGTCAGCTTCACTCAGTAGCAGTCACTGCCTGTTCTGACCTGGGGCTGTCCCTACGGTTTGAGCTAATGTGTAATTTTCCAGAGCCCTGGAGTCCCTGGGGTCTATTTGTTCCTCTGATTTCCTCATTGAGGTCTCCTTGGGTCAGAGGTCAGACAGGCAGAGAGACCACACAGAGTTTCCAGTCAGGCTTAAGTTTGACCCCAGACCTTTGAACTGTGCTTCTGCCTGAGCAGAATCCTGAAGGTTTCTTCACCTATCTGGGGAGTCAGTTAAGCCCTGGGGTAGGCTAAAGCCTGGCAGATCTCATAGCGCTTGTGATGCTGGAAGAGATACAAATGGGTAGCAAAGGAGCGAGGCAACAGAGAGAGCTGCCTGACCCAAAGTGGGCAGTGCAAACAAAGTAGCTAAAGTAAAGTCACCATGGGGCCCGGCAAGAAATGTTCAAACTGAGTATCTTCCTTCACACCCACTCCCAACCAGGGCCACCACCACCACCAAAGCTCCAGGCACTATGGACAGGTAAAGTACTTGCTGGCAGTGATGTTGTTCTACGCTGCCAGAGCAAGGTGCCTGGGGTCATCATGGAGCTGCTGCGTGGTGGCAAAATTGTCCCCTACAGGATACACAGAGTCACAAGCTCCTGGAGTGACCTGGGGCTACCCTTAGTGGGTCCCCGACATACAGGGAACTACACCTGCCGCTATACCTCCTGGGATCCTGATCCCTTCCACTCAGAACCCAGCAACCCTGTGGAGCTCATAGTAGAAGGTATGACTTCCAGGGAGCTGAGGTTGGGTTTTGCCTCGTCGTCTTGGCTGTGCTAGGCACTGGTTAACTGTGTAATCCAAGCTAGTATGCAAAGTCCCTGTGGCAATGTGCTGCATCAATTCATCCATTTCTTTGTCTAGAAAGGTGATGTAGCTGCAGACACAGGACACAATGGTATTCTTGGAAAGAGGTGAAGATGGGCAGAACTCCTATGCTTCCTTCCCACTGCAAGACGCATTTCCCTCAATCACCCTGTACTTATTAAAGGTTAAGCAAGAGTTTACTTAAAATGTGTGTCTTCCACTTGTGGGTCCAATGTGCCTGGGGAGAGGGCTGTTATTCTAGGCCTGGTGTAGTCAGAGGCTGCTTGTTCATTTCTCAGCTGCCTAGACCCAAAATAATCAGTTGAAACTATATTAATTAAATTACGACTTGGCCAATCACTTAAGCGTATTGCTGGGTAGCTCTTATATCTTAAATTAACCAATTTCTATAATTTGTGTATCACCACATGACTATGATTTACCAGACAAAGTTCTGGCATCTGTCTCCTCCAGCGGCTACATGGTGTCTCTCTGACTTTGCCTTCTTTCCTGCTGGAATTCCCACCTTGCTCTATTCTGCTAAGCCACTGGCCAAAACAGCTTTATTCATTAATCAATGAAAGCAACACACATACAGAAAGACTTCCCATACCATTTCCCCTTTTCTGTTTAAATAAAAGAAAGATTTTTAACTCTGACATAATACAATTTCATATAACAAAACAGGTATCAAGCAAGAATTACAGTTATAATACTTTATCTTTTATCATAACTAGGGAAAACTATAATTATAACTATCTATTCAACTCCTTCAAAGACCCCAGAAGGATATAATATTACCTAAATAAGCAGGAAGTGCATTGTTAGCAACTTCCAAAACTCGAGAATTGACAGAGACATCTCACTGCATGGACAGTAACCCAAAGTTCTTCTGTATCATTGGGGCATTCATCTTCAGCCTACAGGCCCATAATATCCAGCAAACTTTTCCATGAAGCAAGAAATTTCAAAGACAGTTCCACCTATATTGGCAGTTTGTCAGTCACTTTTTTCTGTTTCCTGCAGAATGTCTGGCAGACTCTTTCATGAAGCAGGAACATCACCTTTAAGCAAGTTCAGCAGTCATTTTTCTATGGGTCTTGCATACCCAGTTCATAAAGCATAACATCAAGTATCTAGGAAAGAGTAGTTTTTGCCCAAATGGCTAACCAACTCCACAAGGAGTCTCTTCGATGCCCATCTTCCTTTTGAAGTAATTAGTGCTGCCAGGATAGATGTGACTCATTGTCATAAAAAGTCCTAAGTTTTTAAAAGTTTAAATACCATATTCCATAGGTCTTTGAAAGGTTTGAAGATTATTTATCTAACTGAAATATATCGCTATATATCTAGAAAACCTAACATGACTACAAGTTTGACTATTATAGATGACTATATATCAACCTGTATTTCTTAAATATACATTACATTTTTAAATGAAGTGCACAGACACAATACCTTAATCAAGAGCAGAAATATATATATACGTCACAAAATTGATCATAAATTTTTATTAATAAACCAAGATTCATACCAATGCAAAGTATCCATATCTATAGCATATCCTCCTTTTAATGTAAATGAACATTTACCAACAATATTTAGGGATTTGGACATAGTTATTTTCAAACTGCTTACTGCTTTTGTTGGGTGAAGTAATTTTGGGGGTTTTCACAGAAATCTTTTGAGTGGTCTTGGTCCATCAAAGCACATTACCCTGGCAGGAATCCACAGGTTCTCCTTCTCTGTGGAAACAAAAGAAGAACCTCTTTTCCAAAGCAACATATTATTAGGCCCAAATTTTAAAGTCAAGATACCTTTAAAGTATATATGTTGGTTTAAATTAGCAGCCTGTACAATGAAATGTCTCTCTGTACTTAGCTCATTCATAGTAAAAAAATTTCAAAGAAAACACAATAATATACATAATCCAGACTCTGTATATAATCCATCTTTACAGTTTTTTTGTTGTTGTTGTTTTTGGTTTTTCGAGACAGGGTTTCTCTGTGTAACAGCCCTAGCTGTCCTGGAACTAGCTCTTGTAGGCCAAGATGGCCTCAAACTCACAGAGATCTGCCTGTCTCTGCCTCCCGAGTGCTGGGATTAAAGGTGTGCATCACCACTGCCCGGCTTGTATATTCCATCTTTCTGTGGTTTATTTTTCTTTACCCCTTTAATCTATGACTGTCTGAACTTTGTCTCTTTAAAGACTTTTTTTTAAAAAAAAAGATTTACTTTATTTTAATAACTCTCTGTGCTCTTTATTTCTCTCCCCCTAGCCTACATGCATTTTTTTTCAACACACTGTCAAAGGTTTGTTTTTGTCTGAATCTGTCTTTACTGCATATATGTAATTATTTTCTGATCAAGAGTGATTTTTTTTCTTTTTAAATGCTAAGCAGGCATGACTAGTACTAACTCCACTGTCCTGCCTGTTGGCTCGGCCCAGTCCAACATGGAGGCATGTTCAGCACCAGCTCTCCGAGCCATGCTCACAGCCCCATTTTCTGGCACAAAGCAGGTCTATGATGCCATTAAGCAAATTGCAGCACTCTGCTCACAAACACCATTTAAATGCTTGGTGGCTGGACCTCCCAAAAGAGTCAAAGCCATTTATGCTGATAAACCATGAAACCACTGTTCTTAAAGAAGTCACTGTTTATACTGCATCTCTCTCAAAGGAACCATGGAACCCCTGCTTACCACGTGCAAACAGAGCCCATCTGAAAAAAAAAATGTGAATAAACTTTGTGTGTGTGTGTGTGTGTGTGTGTGTGTGTGTGTGTGTGTATCTAGAATTCCTTTGCAAGCTCTATCAGTTTTTCTGTGGATATGTTAGTGTGCCAATCTGTAGTCTGAGGCTGCTTGCTCATTTTCCAGTGGTCCAGACCTAAAATAATCACTCAGAAACTATATTAATTATATTACTACTTGACCAATCACTTAAGTGTATTGTTGGCTAGCTCTTATATCTTAAATTAACCCATTTCTATTAATCTGTGTATCGCCACATGGCTGTGGTTTATCCGGCAAAGTTCTGGCATCTGTCTCTTCCAGCGGCTACATGATGTCTCCCTGGCATCTGGCATCTCCCTGGTGTCTTCCTGACTCCATCCTCTTTCCTCCACTATCTGCATGGAATTCCTTTCTTTGTTCTGCTCAGCCACTTAATGAAACAACTTTATTCATTAACCAACAAAAGCAACACTTGTATAGAAGGATTTCCCACACCAGCCTGGAATTCAGTGTCCTTAAAAGGAGTAGGCTCAGAATTGGATCCTAAGGGCACAAAGGTGGGAGCCTGGCCCTGATTGCACATTTCTAAAGATCTCTTTCTCTTTCTCCTTTGTCTGGCTGCCTCTTACTTTCCAGGCACTCTGCCCACTTCTAGCAGATATGTACATGCAACTTGGAGTGCTGGTCATGCCTATCTTAGCTTGGAAGGGTCTAGCCCCACCCTGGCAGTAGGTTAGAAAAATGATACATTAAAGACTTTTGGCTGTGTTTTCATTTTTTACAAAAAAGCACTGATGGGTGTCATCGGAGTGTGTCCAAATCAATGCATTATCTGAAGGGACTCAGCTAGAACAAACCAAAACAACAAAACATCTTCAGAGCTGAGCCAATCTTTTGTTCCCTTCAAGCCTCAGTGGAGCCTGAGACTAAAGCCTGAAGGACTGATCCCTGAAGCAGAAGTGGCCCTCAGCTCAAAACTACCCGGCCCCTGCCTTGTATCCCAGCAGTCCTTGCTGCTTCTGGTTCCCAGGATAACCTCAGAAACACTCCACGCCTCCCTGTGCCCCCTGCTCCTTCAGTGCCTTTGTTCAGAGGGCTCATCCTTCTCCCTTCACCTCTCACATGCATACTAAAATACTGGCTCATGCTTCAAAGCCGAAGGATCGTTCCATTATTTATTTTTTTACAAGTTTTAATTGGAAGTTCAGGAGCATAATTCAGTGGCCAATTTGGTTAGTGGAGACACCAAAGATGAACAAGACATAGTTCCTGTTCTTAAACAATATTCAGTCTAAGGCTAGATGAATGGTTTAGTGAGTAAAAGCTTTTAACCCACAAGCAAGACCATTTCAGTTGACACTCAGAGACCATAATGAAACGGATAACTGGGAAGGATGTGGTGGCAGGCATCTGTAACCCCAATGTTCCTACAGTGAGATGGAGGGGAGACAGGAGAAAAGAACACCTCCAGGCTTGGAGGACAGAGTGATCTAAAGGAAGAGACATTCTGTCTTGACAGAAGAGGTTGAAAGAATAAACTTCCCACAACCATCTTCTGATCTGTCTGAACACAACCATGTACACACCTGTGCTCACATATACACATATAATAGTAAATCAATGGTTTAGTTATGTGCAGTAAGACACACTCATAGCCAGACATGCAGTGCAAGAATTTTAGTGAACTCACAGTGCTGTGTATAGACCTCCATCTTGAACTCCTTGAGAACATCATAATAGGTCACACAGGCTCTCTGGGGTTGTTGGCCTCTGACATAGCCTGAGATGTGAAGGAGAAGACAGGAATTCTAGGGGATAGCAACCGTTTCACCTAATATCATTATTCCCAATTTAGAGCTGAGCAAACACTGAGTGAGTGTCCCCAAATGTTGAGTTAACAAACAGCAGAGCTGTTTCCTATCCCAATGCACAGCCTAAGGCAGTCTCTAACTCATTAACTCAGCCTGGCTTTAACTTATCCTGGGAATCCAGGCACAAAGGATCCAGGGGGATGACCTTTTTGATTTGTCTTGAGACAGATATCACTATACATCGCAAGCTAGCTTTGGACTCCTGATCTTCCTAATCCTCCTGCCTCAGCATCCAAACCACTGTGAATGCAGTCATATGTCACTGTGCTCAGTCCTACTGTGAAGACAAAAGAAGCAGAAGGAACACAGCAGAACAGGTATGGGCTGTTCTACACAGGGTCACACCCTAAGCACAGAGAAGGTTTGTGGTGGAAGCCAGTTAGTGTGGGACTGGGAACACCCTGATGGGATGAACTTTACCTTAAAGCAGGGGTTCCATGGTGTTCATGGAGCGCATGTGTGTGATAGGAGATGAGCATCCATGCTTTGAAAGTGGAACAAATTGGAGATGACTTCTGAACTGTTTGGTCAGTAGGGGAGTGTTTTTTATTTTTAATTTTTATTTTTGAAAACATAATGTGGGTCTTCTCTTCTATACAATGGTGACAACTTGATTTACATATTATAGAACTGTGATAAAAGTCAAATTAAGTAATAACAAGTGAGAGAGTACCAAATCCATTTCCTGATACACCACATTAGCTGAATTCTCATGAACTTTTCCTATGTCTTGCAAAGATTTTCTACCCTGCTAATGAGGTGGATCTGGGCCCATTCATTTCCCCTGCCACAGATCAGGCAAGAGTCTGAGACCCTTCTCCAAATATCAGGAGAGACCCTGGTCACAACCTTGTCATGGAGTGGCTTGGGACAGATCCCCAGGGCACTGAGCAGAGCTTGTTAGAGACAAAACAGGAGAAATGGGGTTCATCCTTAGCCATGGACCAAGGGAGCAAGGATCCACTCAACCCCCGAAGAAAGGAACAGTTAACTGTATCATTAATAATACTTAGCATAGTCCCACTGCTTTCTCAAGCTAATTAATTTTGCTCCAAATCCTGTAAAGCAAATGACTGGGTGTGTCAGAGAAGAGCTCTGTTTCTGAATTCGGTATGTGAAGAAGCACGGTCTCCACAATGTCTGATGAAGAGAAAAGCTGTATCTCTGCTTCCTAGAGCCAAGTTACACTAGACAAAAAGAGGCCATTAGGCACTGGTGGATATTCACCCCTTCACCAAGTCTGTCTTCAAATAAGTACAATTACCCAAGGAAATAACAACACAAGAAATCCCATTTTGTCATTTTTATTCTAACAATGTCCCAAGAGACAGTACCAAGAAATCATATTTTCTTTTCAGCTGGTATGATGGTGGAAATCGGTTTTATTCTGGAACTTAGTGTTAAGCCCTTGTGCCACGACAGGACTCACAGTTAACTGCTCAACTCCACAGCCCTTTACTCCGTGTGTTTTGCCAACAACAATCTGAGGATGCTAAGGAAACACATTTCCTGTACTTACATATCAGCAGACTTTCAACTATGAGAGACTAGAAGAGACAGATCAAGTACAAAATAAGGGTAAATCCTCCGAGCACAAAACCAAACCAAAACAAAATCACATACATGAACCTCGTTCCTGGAAAAGCCATATTAAACCGTTTGGAAAGATGGCGAGATGGAGCAACATCACTGGGAGACTGAAACTTCATCCTCCAGGCGTGATGTGACCACTGCTGCTTGAAATCACAGCCGAGCTTGAAATCTGCTCTCCAAGCATCAGATGATCAGGCCTATAACATAATACTGTATGACAGGAGTCATCTACCCCTCGGCGGAGAGTCCAGTGAGCATGGGCAGTACTAGCATTAGAGACGATGGGAGGTGGAGTTGGGACGCTAGTGAAAGCGCACCTTTGGTGAGTTGTCACCAGTCCCAGTGTGGAGTTTTCCAATGACACAGTTCTCGTTAAGTCGCCCATGGACCTATAAGTACCCCTCACCCACGCTCCTTTTCATAACTCCACACACTCATTGGTTCAAGAACTAGATTTGGATGTTCAAAAAGTAATCTCAAAAGTTCCGGCTCCTGCTGTAGAGGCAGCCATGACACTGTCAAAGGGGTTTCACAACTTCGTCTCTGAAATACAGAAAAATATCTGACATAAATTTCAGAAGAGTGTGACCCTGTCACAAAATCCTGGCAGGAAGAGGCACGTCTTTTGAGAAGGCACAGCCATGCTCCTAATGCAGACTTTCAGTCACGTGACACACATTTCTCTAAGGAATGGAACTGACCTCGGTCTCTTTATTGGAAAATGTCCTCTGCAGAGGTCCTCAACCATAGTAACATTGTGTGGAGACAATCTCCTTATGACACCCGTGTCCTACATTCTCTCTTTAAACAGCAAGTATCTGACATGTAGCTTGTCGGATGTGGCTTGTAGTTGTAGGGTGGGGAGGTTTCTGGTGTGTCTATAATGTGCTGCTGCATATATGAAATTTGTATGTGGTCCCTGAAAAGTGCAGTGGACATAAGAAAACTCAGTTCTGTGTCTCTGCTCCCAAAAATGTGATTGATGATCTTTGTTTCAGTCTTAATGAAGGAAGATAAGTGCAGTATTTATTTATTTATAAGTATTAGTCAAGCATCACTACAGGATAGCAAGCACACTCTATGCTTTGGGAGTCAATCGACAACATAACATTATACCTTTTCCCTGGTGGTATAATTATAAATGAGGCTGTCCTATCCAATCACCTATGCCCAATCTTTGGAATCATCCCAGAAGTTTCTTCCTTCTTCAGTTCTATACATCAGTTATTCTAGATCTAGAATCAGTTATTCTAGATCAGTTATTGTAGCTCTATCTACAGAACTTCTTCATCCCTATGTTTGTTGGACCGATAAAGCTTTCTAGGATCACCCTGTCTCTCATATAATCATGCATGCTCCTTCTCTCCCTTGATCCTCACTGAGTTTCCTCAAACAAACCTAATTCAAGTACCACCCTGTTACACGGTCTTCCCTGATTTCTGGGAATCATTACAGTAATGATGACTGATGTCGGCTACTTCCTATGTGTCGGTGACTGTCCTAATGGCTTCACTAACTTGATTCATCAGGTGAGTTTCATAACAAGCTTCACTGCGGTCATTCATTATCTCTTAGCGGACAGCTTTGCTCCTGCCCACCAACGTTCTCCGTAATACCATACAGGTGTATGACGGCCTGCGAGCTGCGCTTCCCAAACTGCTGTGTTAACTGCCTTCCCTGAGGCTTGGTGTAGAAGTCCAAGAAATGAGCCATGAGTTTCTTCTTCCGGTGCCTTTGCCAGTGGTAGGAGTTGAAGCAGATTCTCTAATGTATGTTACTGTAGTGATCACCGGAGAGCAGCAACCACAGCATCCTCCGGGAGTTCAGTAACAGAAACCTACCATGGCTCTCCTAAATACTGAGCCACACTCGCTGACTGAGACTGGCTCCCTTCTCCCCCTCACTTCTGTATCTCTACCAAAGCGTTGCCACAATTTCTCACCATCAAGTGTCTCTTTGCTGGAAATATACGCAGGGCGTCTTACTTTCTTCACTAGGCACCGGTACCTCATTTAAGGCACAGAGAGGTGAAGTAGTGTGTTCCAAAGTAGCCAGGCAGTAACCTAAAGTCCCAGTTTAAAAAGAGGCAAAACCCAGATGGAAACCAAGCCAGGCCCTCTAAGCACATTGTGAGAAGACTCAGTTGCTGTTTTTCTCTCTCCACCTACATCCCACAGTTGAATGGAAGGGGGGCCTCCCAAAGGAGATTGCTACGTGACTGAGATTTGCTAATAAGTGAATGGGTATACATCACTCACACAAGCTCCATGTAAACCCCCACTGTGATCGTCGGCTGTAGTGAATGTTGGGTCAGTGAGTGAATACATAATGATCAAATGAAGATGCTCCAAGTCCGGAGCAAATCAAGTTGCTCTCAGAACCAGAACATGACTGTGCCTAAGAAACCGAATACTCCCATCCATTATATAGTATAAACAGCCCATAAGCACATATTTGTTAAACAAATAAATCACAAAAGCAATCAAATGGGCAATCAATCACACAACTGTGTGATGGTGTTGACAATTCCAGTTTATTGACAAACAGTTTTCCGGGAATAAGGTGCAAAAGCAAACCATTGCATTTTTTTAAAACAACAATGAATAGGGCCTCTAACAGAACAGTCAGTGAATAATTAGACATTAATGTCTCTAACTTGAAAAAAAATATAATTCATTCACTCTCAGGGGAGCTCCTGTGAGAACAGGGAAAACAATGTGTCACAGATTCTAACCTATTTATAACCTGGGACCACAAATGATCTGTTGCTAAAAGAGAAAAAATCCATTAATCTCCCAACACAGGGAGTAATTTTATATTTTGAATAAAAATGAAATAAGCAACATTAAGGCGGGAAATGAATCAGATATGCAGTAATTAGTTGGAAAGAGCCAGATTTTGCCGCCTAACTCTCCCTGCAACTCCAGCCTCATCCATCAAAGTAAAGTGCATCAGATGACGTGGGGATTTTCCAATCCCTTTTCAGACTGAATTAGCCAGTTGATGTGAATGGTAATTTGACAGGACGCTAGAAGGGAACACATGGGTGTTAGGATTATAGCAGAAGTGGAGAAAATGCCTAGTAAAGTTTGGCGATGCCCCTGCTCTGTGCTTATAACCCCTTTCCTTGTGCCGTAGCCCTTCATTCATTCATTCCATTTCCCTTCCCTTGTGTTGTAGCTCTTCATTCATTCATTCCATTCTCCCTTCCCTTGTGTTGTAGCCCTTCATTCATTCATTCCATTCTTTTCTCTCTGGGAGATCTTGAGAAGCTATAATTTCTCTCACTAGAATCTGAGAAGGATTATGTGCATTTTCTAATCCATCTTTACAGACTTCAAAAGCTCAGGCCATGACAGTGACTGATTTGTTTATGTTGGTCCAATACAATCAACTGAAGCTCCAGGACCAAGCTGCTGGGCACCTGTCCCCAGCCCTGTGTCACACAGCTCAACAATGATAGAAGTACAGGCAGAGATGGCAAAGCAGTTCCTTGCTGAAAGCAGTCTTGATCTCCAGAGCCCTTTCTGGGTGGGAGCCCTCCTGTATATTCATGATGTAGAAGACTGGGTCTTCCTTTCTCAGGCTCCACATTCTGCATGCTGTTCAGACAATCCACCTCCAATCACATGTCCTCCTGGACTCTTGTCCACACAGGCAGCCTTTGCTCTGCCTTCTCCTGCTAACACTTTCTCCCTTCCTCACTTTGGCACATCCTGATAAGAGAAGATTTTTCTAGAATAGCTCAGTAACTGGTTCAGTGGTAGTAGAGGTAGAACAAGCCCTTCAGTTGTACTTATGTGCCTAGAACAGCTCCCTTGCCTAGTACGCAGGGAGATCTGTGAGCTAGCTGCAGGTGAGCAGAGAGAAATAAAACATACTAGATGCTTCTACTCCATGAACAGCAAAAGAAAGCATTAAAAACAAAAACCCAGTGATGAGTTTGAAACAGAAAAGTAAGAGATGATATTAGTACTTAATGTACATTATATTATGTTCTAGCGCATAAATTTGAATATTTTGATTATGTTGGTGTTTCAACCCAGGGTCTTTGTGGACTTCACTTTGGAGTTACAGCCCCAGCTCTATACAAGTCTTTTCTATTACATTTTGTGTTTGGAGATATATATTTTTAAGAAAAACAACGCATAATTGCTATTTTTAATAGAAAGTAATACACATAAAGAATTGCCCTGCCTACCTGAGAAATGTTTAAGAAATTCTGTCCAAGTGTTCTCTATGAACATGGAAACACTGCACTGTTGAGCAGGGCCTGTCACCCCAGGTTTTGGTGAACTACTTTGTTTCCTTTTTCCCCCCATAAGCTCTCAGGCATAGATGTGGGGGATGGTCTCTGTGGTTTTCACAGGTTTGTATCTATGAAATATTCTCTGTCGGTAAGGGAAGGGCCAAGTATTGAGACTTTCTATGTCTCAGCTGTTTGTGTGAGGAGAATTCTGAGTGCTTGTGAGAAAACTTCAAGAAAACAAGACAAATGTCTTGTGACCTCAGTTTCTTCCAAAATACGAAATTGTTCTTGGACTGCTTTCCTGCTCCTCCCAGGTGTAGTGGAAAGGAGTGAATTTATTCCAGATTATTCATTACAACTGATTAATTTAATGTTAAATGTTATCTGTTTATATGTCTCTGTGGGAAAACGTGTTTTTGCCATGTACAGCTTGTCTGCCCCATGAGGCTTGCCCTTGTGATTGTACATTTTATACATGTGACCCTCTTGACGCCCAGAGTATACATATTGCATGAGACTTTAGTCGGCCTCTTTTATGGACTCCTTTCCTCCAGGTTCCGCTGCTTCTAGAGTGGGGAGTAAACCTGTGTGCTGACCGTCCTAGCTCAGAAAGGCAGGTGTGATTTCTGCTACTTCAGACGCTCAGTCAGATTTTCTCCTGTGCCCAGGTTAATGCAGGTGGATGGCAGTAAGGGAGGAACAGAGAGGAGCAAGCCCTGTCTTCTCGCCCACGCCCTTGGTGACATGTGTGTCTCATCACTGCCTCAGAGTTTGGAGACATGGTCATCAGGGTCTCACCACAGGAGCTCAGGTAGTGATAAAGTCAGTACAGAAATGATAAAATAAAAATGAATTTAATGAGCGCATACTAACCCCATTAAACCAATGTTCCTTTTAGATTAGGGAACTTGGGCCCAGACACAGACAACTATGTAAGATGATGAAAGACAATGTGAGACTCAGAGAGAAGATGGTTATTACAAGGTAAGTAGGGGGGTGTTGGACAGATATTTCCCCCAGAGCTCTCCAATGGAATCAGTCCTTGATCTTGAACTTCCACCACCCCCCCCCCACAGAATTCTGAAAGAGAGAAAAAAAAACTATTATTTGAATCAATGATTTGACGGTATTTTGTTATGGAAACCCTAACAACCCAATAGGATACTGTCTTAGTTAGTGTTTCTATTGCTGTGAAGAGACATTATGACCACAGCAACTCTTATAAAGGACAGCATTGAATTGGGACTGGCTTGCAGTTTTAGAGGCTTAGTCCACTATCTTCATGGCAGCTTGCAGGCAAACATGGTGCTAGAGAAGGCAGCAAGAAGTGAACTGTCAAACTGGGCGTGGCTTGACCATATATGAGACCTCAAAGCCCGCCTCCACAGAAACACGCTTTCTCTGACAAGGTCACACCTGCTCCAACAAGGTCATACCACCTAATAGTGCCACTCCCTATGGCCCCTATGGCCCAAGCACTGAAACACATATGTCTGTGGAGGATATACCCATGCAAACCACCACAAACATATTAAAGTCAATTTTGGTGGCAGAAAGATGCCCTTTGGTGCACAGAGAATTTGGGGTACTGGGGGTGGAAGTTGGAAGCTCAAAAGCAGATGGAAGAGAAGGTGGGTTTAGAATATGGGTCTATGAAGCTGGCTTGCTTTCTGCCTGTACCAGCCCTGCTTCCACAAATAGATCCGCGGCACAAATTATTCAGAAGCATGTTCATTGAAGCCAGAAATGCATTATTTAATTTTTTTTGCAACAGATGCACCTTTTAAATTCAGTTTGGGTTTAGGCCAAAATTACAATATTAAATTTTAATATTCAAACCTGAGCATGGGTTTCCATTCCTTGAACACATACTCACTTTCTCATCCAGAATAGGCTGGGAGGCAAGAGGAAAGGGATCAAAGTGGAGTCCGCTGGGATGGATGTACCTAACTCTGCCTTTAAGTGGTCATGTGGCCTAGAACCAATCAGTTCCCTGATGGAAAGTATGGTTGTACCTTCTGTGGAGTAGTGGGAATGGCCCGGGTGTTCTTTACGGTTCCTACAGCTGATTGTGATCTAAAGTCTGTGTATCTCATAGAGTGGAGGGAGGTGGATGAAGAACAACAGACAGCAGCTGAGCAGGAATTGACCTCGTTGTCAGAACTGGGATGGGTCTTGGAGCGCCACGAAAGTGAGCATTGCTCAGCTCTGGTAGGTATAACAACAGCCTGAATAGGCTTTCTGGGATGGCTAAGATCCCTGCACAAGAGAATTTCATAGCGGCTGCTCTCTCGCCTCTCCTGTAAATGGCAAAACTTAAACATAATGTAAGTGTCAAAATGAAAGATTTCCTGACTATATAATCTTAGATAATTTCCTCTGGTTCTGCTGCTGCCTATGTGTGGTTGTGCGAGAGTGTGGATATTACATATTTGCTTTGGTTTCCAAAGTTTCCCAAGCAAGTTCTTCATCGTTTTTTCAGACAATGGTGCTTGGGAAAGTGGGCTTTTTAGTATTGCATTTCCCTGTCTTTTGTAAGGGTTACCTTTGGATTTCTGCTGCTGGCCAGAGCACACAGTGATACCACTTTTACAGTCCTTGCATCTCCCCTTCAGTCCCCAAATAGACAGTTCCCTTGCATCTTCTTCCACGGGTATCACCATTAACATCATGTGTGTGAGGAAACTGAAGGTTGAAGAGGCTCGTCAACTTCCATTGAGTCCATACAGTGGGCAAGTATTGAGGCTAAAGTTAACCCTGAATTTGTAATCTCAGAATTTAGAGTTTTGAGCTCCACTGGCTACTGCTACCACCTCAAAAAAAGAGGGTAGGTTTTTGTTAGGATGTCTGCCTTCCCAAGGATCAGCATGCTAACCCAGAGTGGGAATGGTACTGCCTCCTTCAGAAACAGTCTGCTGAATTTTAACAGTGCCACAAAATGGAGCATCTACAACAAAACGGGGAAGATAGGAGACTAGCACCTAACCTACAAGTTTAAATACTGAACTAAATGGGCTGCATGTTTGGTAACACACAGAGAATTCTGTTAATTCTGCTGTGGCCGTTTCCTATTGTTGCTGTAGCAAATTACCATGATTTTAGAGGTTTAAAGCATTCCTGGTTTATTACTTTATGGTCCTGTAATATAAAATGGCTATTGTTGGACTAATAAAAAGTGTTGTCAAGACTGCATTTTTGATGTCTTTAGGATTAAAGGAGTGAGTGGTGAGTGTGAGTGTGTGTGTGTGTGTGTGTGTGTGTGTGTGTGTGTGTGTGCATGTATTTTCCAACTTTTGAAGGTTACCCATATTCTTTGAATTTTCAGTTCGTGACCTTTTGTTCAAAGCACATGATACTGGATCAAGAACTTATACTGCTATTTCTTGGATTCTACCCCTTTGTTACTCTCTTTCCCCATTAAGCATCAACTTTATAAAATTATTTTGGGTCAATCTGGATAACTGAAGTTCATTGCCTTATTTTTAGGCAGGCTGATTAGAAACCAGGATTACACCTGTCATCTTAATTATCCTCTGCCGTGAAGAATAACATATTCGGATACAGGGGCTGTTAAGAGATGTGTTATTCTGGATGCTAAGACTATGTATTAGGTGAAGGCTGTGGATTATCTTGTGGTTTTTTTTTCAATCTTTTTTGGAAGCACATAGTGTGTAATTTACAAATGGTCACATATGATACTTGAAGTCGCTTCTGAGTGATGTGCCGAAAGAAGTTGCCTTAGTCAGTGACCTGTTGCTGTGAAGAGAGGCCATGACCAAGGCAGCTCTTACCTAGGAAAGTATCTAGTTGGGGGTTTGTTTACGGTTTCAGGTACATAGTCTATTATCATGGCAGGGAGCATGGTGGCAGGCAGGTGTGGTATTGAAGAAGTAGCTAAGAACTAACTATACTCTGATCTGTAGGCTGAAAGAGAGAGAACAACTCTGTCTCGTGTGGGCTTTTGGAACCTCAAAACCTACCCCATGCTTCCTTTAACAAGGTCTCACCTCCTAATCTTACTTCTAAACCTTTGAAAGGGTTCAACTCTGTGGTTTGAATACATTTACATTTTTTTCTAATAGAAGCACAAATAACTGAAAAAAAAAATCAAGATAATAACAATCCTTGACCTAAGTCTGTAATTCTACATGCCAGGGACTCATGTGGCTCTCACGCAACTAGTGAAGAAAGTTCTCTTACATACACAGCACACACACACACACACACACACACACACACACACACACAAAAGACTTGATGACTTGAAAAGCTAAATGCCTTTCCAGGTAGACTAACACGCAGGTACTGAACCCAGAGTTCCTTTGATACTAAAGCCTATGTTCTTAATGACTGTTGCGACTTAAACCAGCAAATGTGGGTTAAGAGCTGACATGGAGCTCTGGTGAGGGGAAGATAGGAGGAAAGAGATAGCTTGATCTTAAAGAGAACAGATCAAAGTCCTACAAAATATCTGTTAGTTGGTGGTTCTGGCCTTGGCTTAGCCACTTACAAAAGAAGAAAGGCCAATTATCCGAGTCCGTAGACGTGACGCTCTTCATCTATACAAGAAGATCATGAGATCCTTTTGGCTACTCATTGAAGCTCAGATGTAGTCACTTACACCACAGTTTAACAGGGAAGCTGGCTGTGTAGCTAAAAAAGCAGCAAATGCAGGCCCTGTCGGGATGTCGGTGTGAAGATAAAATGCTCTTAGGAGTGAGGACTGCGAAGCACAGTGACGTAGGAGAGTATCTACGGGAACGCCACCCTCACCTTACTATGCTAAAAATCAATTGAAGCATGAAGAACTCTTCCTTCATATAGAAGCATATCATTTTAATAGTTCCACTCCATTCCTCAAAGTCCTCTGCTTTTCCTTCATGAAAACGCTGCAGCAAACTCATGTGTAGAATAGCTGGCCCTAGGAGTAGCCAGAGACGTCATCCCAGAGCAAGTGCAGAGAATCCTGCTCATCAGACTGTTGCCTCCTCCCCTCAGCTACTGTGCCTTCTGTACGGGAATTCTAGTTGATATGGTGACTTGTAAGTTGTGATATGAGGTGTTAGTGAGTAGATGAAAACTGATGGTGTTGGATGCGTGTCAGCTTTGAACCCATGTTCTGCCAGAGCTGGTCAGTTTTCATAACTACCACATGAATACTTCAGGCATCTGCCCTCCACCCAGATCTGACCCCAAATACAGCCTATGGGAAAGATAAGCGATATCCTTGTCCTCTTAATTACAACTCTCGTGTAAAAATCCCCTTCCTCTGCCTCTTGTCCAGTTCTTCTTGGTTTTTAAGATTCAAGGTGTCCGGGGGCTGGAGAGATGGCTCAGCAGTTAAGAGCATTGCCTGCTCTTCCAAAGATCCTGAGTTCAATTCCCAGCAACCATATGGTGGCTCACAACCATCTGTAATGAAGCCTGGTGTCCTCTTCTGGCCTGCAGACAGAATACTGTATACATTATAAACAAATAAATAAATATTTAAAAAAAAAAAAAAGATTCAAGGTGTCCTTGATTTCCTAGCTAGAGCTACGGAGGACCTTCCTCAGCACTTCCTCAGGGTTCAGAACAGGAATTTTACGACAAACAAAAAATGGCTTGGAAATAGGATGTGAGGGGTAAAACAAACGGACTGATTTAGACATTGTTTTTCCTGCATGCTTCTATTCCTTAGGAAAGGATGAGCATAAGAGCTTAAGACATAAGGGTAAAAAAGGGTAAGGGATAAAGGTAAAAAAAGGGGGTATGATCTCCACAAAGCTTTCAGTTTATATGGGCATACAGAGAAGTTCCATAGGCGGCAACAATAGTATCAAGCATGTATTTTCAGAGTCACAAAACACTGGTGAATCTGGTAAAGATACCGATGTCTCAGAGGGGGCGTGGCTGTAAAGTTTCCCTGCAGCTGGGAACACAGCTTTGGTAGCTAAACTAACCTGCCGGCTTGATTTGCATTAGCATCTTGCTGGTCAGGTTAAAAGAAATCTCTTTTGGGGCCCTTGCTTTTGACTCCAGCAGAGTGCCCAGGTGAGATTTTTTTCTCTGAAGCTGGTTTTAGCAACTTTAGCATTTTTTGCTGTATAAACAGTTAATTTCCTGGGCTACAATCCTATGTTAGTTGAAACCGAGGTAAAAGGGAACACAGGATGTCAGTAATTTGTTAAGTCAGAGCAGAAGACTAGCAGAATTTCCCAGTTAAATTGGATACCCTTAGTTTCCATTAGAAACATGGGAGATAAAACACAAGTCCTTTTAAATGGGAGCTCGCCCCCCCTCCCCCATCACCACCAATTTGGCTTCTGCTGAGTCCTAAACTTCAAAGTATGCATTCACTGTAGCGGACTGCAGGAAGAGCTGTTGAGGGCGGTGCCTGATGCTCAGAGATGTATTATTAGTGCCTAAAGGAGTGCAGAGCATACAGTCAGTGGTTTATGATTATTTTCCAAATGAAAAATAGTATTATGTCACAGAAAATAAATCATGCAGCCTACTCCTCCTTTTCAAGAATTCGGGTTTGTTTGTTTTTGCCGTTGAAGGAGTCTCTGCTAATTGCTGCATGGGACTTGAGCAAATATAGAAATAGCAGCCTGAGGTCTGTGGTGTTCATTATTATTAAGATGTAGATTGAAAGCAACCAGAGATCAGCCATGGAGAAATCCTTCAGGGAGGGTGGGAATGGGTGGCTGCATTTGTTTATGAATGGCTTACAACTGTTACAGATACACGGGGAAACAGCATAGACTGAAATACAAGGGAACATTTTCATCCACACAAAGTTTTCTTTACTTATTTAAAACTTTGTTTCCTGCTCATGTAAGACACTCCCCACCCCATCTGACACACAAGGCCCAAAAGACAAAAGGTGGAAGTTCCAATTAGGATTGGGATTAGTTTTTGTTGCTCAGAGGTACTGACTGGGTCGAGAGGTCTCCGGACTTTAATATCCAGCCAGCAGAGGGTGGAAGAGGGATGACTTGACCCAGGATGCTGTGAGCAGCAGCAGCAGCAACAGCAGAAGGCATCCCCTCTACCCACATCCCACTCTCAGATTCCTCTTGTGCCTGCACCTAACTGCAAAGAAATCTGGGAAATGCCGGCGAGGGGTATCCAGGAACAAGAGAAAAGCACCTTTTTAAGGAACACGTGACTACCACAAAGACTGAGGGATGAGAAATATTTTTTTAAAAATGATTAGAAGCCTGAGCAAGCCTAAAAGAAAGAAAAGTGTGTAAGAGAAGAAAGGATACATCTGAAGAAATTTGGGATGAGCCGTGTTGTGTGACCTCCATTTTATTTTGCCTAAAAAGACCTCTAGTCTGCTCTTTTGTTCAGTAATGACCGTCCATGAGTGGGCACATTTGTGGAGAAAAAGAACAAAGCTAACATGTGGGCTGCAGAAGGAGTAATTTTGGAAACGTGCACGCTCCTTTCAATTCTTATGGCACTTGTCAAAACATGACTGACACCCCTGTTGGATTACTGCCTCCACAGCAGATTCTCAGCCTTCCCCCCAAATAGCAGAGCCTCTTTGAAAGGGAATGCCACTAACTGAAGACACTAACGGCAGAATCAAGATGAAGACCCAGCTTCTAAGTCCAGGGGCCCCATGGTTTATTACAGACAGGAGTGAAACATGAGACAAGAAGAATGTGACCCCAGAACACCTTAGGAACTGGCAAGATACCTTGCTTTGATCTCCTCTCTACTGCTGACTTGCTCTGTTTGACTAAATCCCCCCAAGCCCTCAGTAAAAGAAATACTTCTTTATCCATTTACAGATGAGGACTCAAACTACCTGGAACATGGAACCAGGACTAAGAATCCAGACTGCTCATAATATCAACAACAACATCCAAATAACTTTTCGTGCCCAGGAGAACACTCAAAACATCACCTGAGTTACTAATCTTTGAGGCAAACAAACTGGGAGTGGAGAGGCAAGTAGTTAGTATTCCTGCTTGGAGGATGGGAAAGCCAATATAGGAAAGGTGAGAGATTTAATGTTGTTTTCCTCAGCTGTTGTGCACTAAGGCCAGGGTTTACTCATCAGTGTTCTGAGAAGTCTGGACTGGACCCCTTCTCCCCTTGTGTCTGTCTCCAGCCCTTCTATCCGTTACAACCCAGTGATTCTTGGCAATACATTAGCCTTACGTGGACCCACAAAAACTCCCCAAAGAGAGGATGTATTCTGTTATGATCTTCACATCCTGAACTACTGTTTTAAAAGTTTTTACTATTTGTCTGACGAAAGGACAATTCTCTTGGTTTGTCAGGAACTGGCCTAGTTCTACCTCTTAGAATTATTATTCATCCAGGAGAATCCTCATTCCTGCACAAGTCAAGACTACTGTTCCCCTATAGTAATTCTGAGATATTGGTGTACCTATATCTTCTAAGAGATGCTCTTCTCTGTCCTGGAGAGATAAAGACTGACTGTACACATCCTCCAGATTAAATTAAAACATGAAATAAAAGGAAGACATGACCACTCCTAAAGTATGGAGATATAAAGGGAGAAAGCAGGCAGAAATAAGAGTCCAGGATGAACCTGGCTGTCAGACTAAACCAGACCATGAGAACTGAGAGGGAGAAAGAGCAAGAGAGAAGCTGCCCACTAAGAGAGGCAGCCCATGCCAAGAGATTAAGAGACCAGCATAGCCCAGATGACTGAGTTATGTAAAAATCAGGATGAAGGAAGGGAGGCTGAAGCCCAGCCCCTGGGAGGGAGAGGCTTAGAGTATGGAGTAGAGCGAGAAGTGTTAAGTGGCATTTGTCCTGGGTTTGAGACCTAACACAGATCTTACCTTGCCTCTCAATTGGTCAAAGCCAATCAAACCAAGAGGCAATGCCATTGGCAGCAATGAGGATTCATCATGTCAGTGGGTTATGAACTTTTCCCCCCTATAATGGCTTGATAAAATAAAGGGATCATCTTTTACCTCTATTGAGTTGCCTAAGAAGCTCAGTAGGACTGGCCACCCTTAAAAATTAGCAAGTCTGTGCCTGGTCTGCACTGTTCCTAAAACAAGAGGATGAGGGGAAGCCAGGAGCAGAGGCTGAGATGAGAAGCACTGGGGTGGGGGGGGGGAGTGTCAGTATTCTCCAGCGCCGAGCAGCCCCAGACTGAGCACCACCCTAGCCTGTCACAAACGAGGCCGCCCAAGTACATCAGCTGCAGAAACGTCAGAGTCTGAAACAAGAACACACCAGTAAGATATACATAGGGGAAAGGTTACCTGGGTCACCTGAAACTTCGTGTTAGGGTTTTGTTCCTTTAATTGAAAACCTATAATAAACTTTGTCCATCCCTGTTTCTTCAGCTGAAGCAGAACATCAGAGCGGATGATGCTCGTCGGGCTTCATCATGTACTGCTGTGTTTCCAGCGAAGGAGCCGCTCTGAGCTTACGGGTGGACGACACCTGTCTGCCACTCTTGGTGATGGAGCTCCAACGACTCTTCCTTTGGGAGACAATGCAGTTCTGATAAACTTTTCATCTCCGAATAATTTTAAATTCACTAGACAATTGTAAAGATAGCACAGAGAGCATGCACATGTCTTTCACCTAGGACTATCTTTTGTTTTGTAATGTGGACTTCGAGTAGATAGTTTAATTACCTTGAGTCGTGGATTAAGAAAAAGATCAACACCGAGTTTCGGTCACCCCTGCATGACGTGAACTGCACACGTGGCACATAGGGGATCAGTAGCACATATAAGTGTTTGACAGATGGCAGCATCCTTCCCCTACAGTTTGTCTTTGTTGTCATTTGAAGGACTGTGCTTAAATAATATCAACTGCTTTTTGTACTTAATCAGTGTCCATAGGGGCCTGGGGAGATAGCTCAGTCCTGAAGTGCTTGCCTTGTAAGAATGAGGACCGGAGTACAATCCCCAGATCACACACTTGGAAAAAAAACAGTCTGAGCACTTCCTATCCCTGCCCAGGGATTACAGTCCCCGCCCCACTCGCTCCCAACATGAACAGTGCCTGACATCCAAGATTGTCCTCTTGCTTCCACTAGCATGTGTGGGCACACGCACCTGCACACGCATCACATACAAGACTGGGGGAGGTCCAGTCTGCCTGGCCACAAGGAGTGTGTGGCTACTGCAAAGTCGCTAGTTCCTGGCTATAGGAATAGTTTCCAGCCCACCCAATAGGTGCTTTTTCCTATAATTTTTCCCACTAGAGAGAAAGTCCATCTGGGAAAACATGAGTTACCTGTAGCCATACTTCTTATTCTGTGGAGCCACCAGCATAAAATAAGAAATCAACATACACGAAGAGTCAGAGCTGACTGGGAGCTGGAGAAAATTTTACATGGAATTCTGAGGCTTCCACCCTATGGACCCACTGGCCAACTCACCTCTGGCCTTTTACATTTGGCCTTTCTCATAGTTCGGTGACTTAAGCATATTAATTAGTCCTGTTTCTTAAATTGGTTTTGATTCTGCTATTATGAAATACAACTAAACCGATCTTTATAGATCACTGTCTTGATCTAATCTTGGCATGAATTCACTGTTTCTGAAACCAAATACTCAAGGCCTCTAATTGATAAGATAAAGGGATTTGTTCATCCCTCCCTAGTTCTGAAAGTCTGAGAATGTGCTGGGCTGTCTGGTCAGTTATTGGTGGGAGTTGTCTATTGTTCCATGCACTGAGGAATACAGAGGGGAAGTGGGTGTGTGTAGAAGGCTGATGCCTGTGAGAAAAGACATGTCACCACACACACACACACACACACACACACACACACACACACAAATAAAAACCCTGGTCTCACAACAACTTCTCTCTGTTCTTCATGGGGGTGGGGCCTCCATGGCCTGGTTACTCAAAGATCATGAGTTCCTAGTGGTCATGCCACAGTGGGAACCAAACCTCTATTTAACAGGTGGAGGTGACCCTGGGGATCTTGCTCCACTGGTCCTATCTCTGCCACCTTCATCTGTGTCTTGTGTTCTTGGCATCAAGAATATCTCGTCCCCTTTAGCAGTTTTCCCAGCACTGCCTCTCAAGTTAAATGTGTAAATGCCTTTGAGGCACAGCAGACAAACTCATAAGAATCAACAGGTCTGGAAGCTGTCTGGTAAAGATATGCCAAGGACAAATGGAAGGGTGCCTTGTACCCCGCGGACATTCTGAACCCCGACTTGGAACCCACTGCATCCAACTCACATTCCACTCTGCGACTCAAGAGTTGAATGACATTGGGCCATTTATGAAACTCTCAGAACCTCAGTTTCCTCATTTGAAAAATGAGGCTGAGGATTCCTTTCTTGTGAAATTATGTGTGGATTCAACTAAATGATGACTAAGGCTCCCACAAGCCGTCTGAGTCCCCTGATGAATTGTATTCTCATGACAAATGAGCCTGAGCTGTCATGTGAAACACAGAACCACTCATGAAGTTTCTGGCCTAAAAAAGAAGTTTGGGTTTGTTTTTTTTTTTTAAAGCTAAATCCAGCCTTAAATCCACACGCAGTAAGCACTGTAATGGACAAACAAATGGAATAAAGTACAAGGAAACAGTGAGATATCTGGAGGGTTGAGGGTTGAACATCTTGAAAGACAAACGGCTGATTTCAGCAATAGATTGATGAAGAGAAACGTGGGCTTCATGAGACGGACTGTGGTCATCCTGCTGTCTTCCCACATATTCAACTTAAAAGAACACCAGGATGGGCCAGTGCACAGATGACCAGGGCTTATGTGATGTATCATTAGTAAAAACTCAGAAAGGAAAAATGGGGTTCAACCTGAAGATCTCCAAAGCAAAGCAGCCAGCCACCAGCTCTTACATCTGTCTTAGTACAAACATGGCCATCCTGCCTTCAGGAATCTCAGAATGAGACTGTGACTGAGAGCTGTCTCCTCCTGTTTGAAAATCCTCTCTAGGGCTGAGATTGAAGGTGTGCACCACTGGGATTAAAGACATGCACCACCTGGTTTCCATGGCAAACTAATGTGGCTACTGGGATTAATGGTGTGTGTTACCGCTGCCTGGCCTGTAAGACTGACCAGTAGGGCTGTTTTACTCTCTGACCTCCAGGCAAGTTTTATTTATTAAAAGACAGATGAAATGCTACCACATTTATGTCCTGCCTCAGTTGTCATTCAGTCAAAAGACTTGGGGATGGAGGAGGAGGAGACTCATAATTCAGAAGTCATGTGAGAAAAGAATTGTCACATCTTTGTAGAAGGAGCGGTGGGCCGCTTCCCTCCGCCTGCCTTCCAGCTAGCTTTACCCCTGAAATAATTACACGGAAACTGTATTCTTTTAAACACTGTTTGGCCCATTATCTGTAGCCTCTTATTAGCTAACTCTTACATATTGATGTAACCCATTTTTAATAATCTGTGTAGCACCACAAAGTGGTGGCTTACCAGGAGGATTCTAACCTGCAACTGTCTCGGAGAGGAGAGTCATGGCGACTGCCTCATTGCCTTCCTCCTCCCAGCATTCTGTTCTGTCTACTCCACCTATCTAAGCTGCTGTCCTATCAAAAGCCAAGGCAGTTTCTTTATTGACCAATGAAAGTAACACATAGACAGTTAACCCTCCTCCATCACATCTGTATGAAACTGTCTGCACTACCTCCTTTAATAATGGTTGTGTATGTGCATGTGCTTGTGTGTGTGTGTGTGTGTGT